TTTGTGTGTGCGTGTGTGTGCGCAGTAGACTAGGATACATGTCTTGGTACTGAGTTGATCCTTCCACTTGACTCCTGCTGTATTCTCCGCCCAATAAAAAGCATCCCTTTCTATTAGGCATCCAAGCTAGAAGCCTGGAAGTCACCCTTGACTCCTCTCTGCCCTCTCCCATCTACATCTGTTCAATTGCTAGCTCTCATCTCTATTGGAGATTATGAGCATCTACCTCTCACTCACTGCTGTTGTCTGAGGTCAGTCCTTAGTTTTCATCACAGCCACTGTCAGGGTGTCTGAGCAACTGGTTTTTCCTCCAGTTTTACCCCTTGCTTTAAGCACACACCCCCCACATATACAGCAGTAGCCCTTGTGATTTTGCTAGAGTATGAATGAGTTCCTGTCTCCCTCTGTTAATGTTGTTCCAATCCTCTGCAGTGTTTCCGGCAGGAACTGGAAGGTGACTTGACCCCTGCTGTGACCTGACCCTCCCTCCCCTACCTACCTCTTTGGCTTTGCAACTTGCCTCCTTCAGACTTCCTGGGAACTAAGACTCAGCCTTCTGAACTTTCTACAGTTCCATAAATGCACAAATCTCTTTCCTGTTTTTAACACTAAAGTATCAACTTGGCAAAGTTATTTACCCTTTGTGCAAACCACAGGGCACAGCCAAAACTGGCTAGGCATGAGCCTGTGCTGTGGCTGCCGAAGGTATTAATATTTTAAACAAATAATGAAAACCACTGTTTAATTCTCCAAAGTTTCTGAGAGAAAGAGGTAAGTCCATGGATTCTGCTATTCAAAATCATGTGACATGCAAAACTGAAAAACATTTTATGACATAATAACAAGATTTTGGCTGTTGAGCTTTTCACATAAATTTATAATAAAGTACATTTTCCTTTCTACTTTCCTTACTCTATATAGCAAGACTTTCTTGGTCTTGTTTCTGAACCTATTTTGTGTCAACTGTGTGTTCTTCCATGAGTCACTTACCTCTCTGTGTTTTAGTGTCTTCGTGTATAAAAGGATGCAGTAATAATACCTATTCCAATGGGCCCCTGTGAGTATTAAATGCAGTAGTATCAATAAAAGCCTTAAAACATTCCTGGCTTATAAGTGCAGTACTAATCATTAGCTAATATTATCATTGTCATTTAAATTTTTTGATTAAAAAATTTTTAATCAACACATACATATTGTACATATTTGTGCTTACCACATGATGTGGTTTGGTTTTGTTTTATTTGGTTTGGTTTGGTTTGGCTTGAGACAGGTCTTGTGATGTTGTTCAGACTGGCCTTGCACTCACTATGTAGTCTAAACTAGGCTGGAATTGGCAGCAATACTCCTGCATCAGTCTCCCAAGTGTTGCATTATAGGCATGCACCACCATGCCCGGCTACCAGGTGTGCTTTGATACATACATACATAGAGTAGTGTTCAAATCAGGGTAAGTGTATTCATCTATTTATTTACCCTTTCTTTGTGGTGAAAACATTCAAAATCCTTTCTTCAAGCTTTTCTGAAAGGCACAATATATGATCATTCTCTGTAGTCACCCAACATGCAGTATAACAAAATGCGTATATCTTGTAATTTTACATTTGATCTTAGTCAAAAGGCTGAGAGATGATTATATTTTGTAATTTTATAACCTACAAGCCTCTTGGTTTTTGACTGAATAACTCACCCTCAACACTCTCTTCCTAGCCAATCTCTTTCAAAACTGAACTCAACGTATAAAAGAGAAAAGCTTATAAGAGCTGCAATGGATTGACCTACATAGCACAATGGTTAAACATAAATAGGATATATCATCAATTCAATGAAATAGCCTGCATTCAGTAATGCTATGTTTGAGGAATGTTTGAGTTTTTTGTAGCATGGAACAATATTAAGTAACAAATTATGACATATTAATTCAAGAAAGAATATTAAGTCCTAATAGTAAAACATAAAAGAAGGTATAGAATGATAGTCATTTTTAATTTTTATATATGACTTCCTAGATTAACATACAGTGGCTAGGTATATTTTCTATAAGAGAAAAACAATCTAATATAATTTTTAAAACATTCAAGCCTCACACTGTCTTAAACCCCTCTCAAAATACTGTTTCAAACACACCTATCCCACTGTTCTTGACACTTTCTGAAGCAATTCTAGAAGTATTTCATGAGCATATTTTGTTGCACTCCTATGACTGCCTTAACACACTGAATCGATTAAAAATATTTACCTTTCATGGTTGTCTTGACTTTAGGGAAGAGCCAGAAGTAGCACAGTGCCAGATCCAGTGAATAAGGCGGATAGGGACTCACTGTAATGATTTTTTTTTGGAGTCTGCCTTTCTATTGGATGGCATTCAGCAGCACTGTATTCACAATGTTTTTCTATTATTACATTTCATAAAGACATGCATACACACACACATACACACAAAACCTTTCAGAACTACTTCAGAAAGGGGCAAAAGCAGTGGAATAAGTATCTTTGAAGAAAGTGTATTTTGAAGAAGACTAATGGCAATATGCCTTTTATTGTAATAATTTTTAAATTTAGACATTCACCATATATTTCAATCACCCTTATATACCAGTTTAGTCAAAATTCTCATTCTGGCCAAAATCAGCTTGCCATGCTATAACTTTATCAATTAATTATTCTACATTTTAATGTGGAATCTAGAAATGTTTATGCTTTTAGATGATTCTTAGATAGGTTCAAACCTCTATTTCTTGATTTATATGACTTAGTTACATCACTAGGTTATTTTCATGCCCCTCCTTAACAACAACAAAAATATATACTAAAAAGAATTAAGATACATAATCGTATAACTACATGGCAGATAGCTACCCCTGTTCATTCTCCTACTAATGTTTTATTGATCTTTCCAGATACGTAAGAAGATAAATTCGATTCATTGAGCCAACAAGTATTTCTTCCCCAAAGACAAAGCTCTGTCCAAGGTCCTGAAGGTCAAAAATCGGGTCCCAAATGTTCCTCAAAGATAAAAGCTATTGGAAAAAAAAAAACAAAAACTGTTTCCAATGCTGCGACAAACATAACAAGGTCACTTGTGCAAGTAGTAGTCAGATTATTTATTTTTATTATTTTAATATGAAATTTGGAATTAAGCGCTTACTTTGTTTCAGCCGTGAAGTACATTCATCTTTCCAATCAGAATCTTTTGCTAGGATTTAGGTAGCAGCGCATTTGGCAACCAAAGCAAAATAGACCAGGTGGTTTATGCTGCCAAAGAAGAAACCTATAACTTCAAAGGTTAGTGTCTGGCCTAGGGCTTTTTTGTGCACATAATAAAGGAGATGGTAATGATTCCATTGAACTTGAAATTGGAAACCATTCTAAAGTTATAAAAACAATAATCTGAATATCAATAATAATTTACAACTCTTACCTGAACATGAAATTTTTATTTGGCTAATGGTGCTTTAAGCCAACTTTTTTAGGCCAGTATTAAAGAAAATTTAAGATATACATTTTTTAGTTGTGCCTCTATAGAAGTTTTGTCTAAACAAAGATCCTATGGAAATCTCCACTATTTGTTCCAGAGAGTCAAAATACTTACACCTTAAGTAGCAAATTATAAATATAAAATTCAAGTAAAAGAAGAATTAATGAGATTTTCCTTGAACTTATTTGAAAGTGCAAAAGAATGCTTTACAGAACATTTTGATTTTTTACTGTTGAATCTTAATCTTTTTCCAATTCCTTTGCCCATCACAGTATTACAGAGATTATTGAAATAAGCTCCAACTGCTATGAAAACATTATTTTTTAAATTTCCCCTTTCATAAGTGCTAGTGTACTTGGGTAAACAGATGGGTACACCCAGAGCAGGCTCCGTCCACATCCTGCTCCTTCTGGGTTCCGCCCAGGATGAGAGTGCGGGGTCAGGCCCTGAAGCTGAGCTGTGATAGTCACAAATCCTCCCTGCCAGGCATGGAAAACAGGGACAGACGTGAACCTGAGAATGACTCTGCAGTGCCTTTCTCATTCTCACACGTAGGGGAAAGAGCTCAGCCACCCTGGTCCCAGGTCCTCGTGATAGATGATGTTGGGTTCCGTGAAGGGAGGCCAGTCCCATGAGCAGCATTTGAGAGGAGAGGCAGGGAGTGCATTGGTTAGCAACTCAGGCACCCTTGCTGGGTTTCTAGGGCTGAGTCCCAGTACTGACATGTTCTTGCTGTGTGACCTTGGATAATGTCCTGCTGATAGGGAACAGTTTTAGATAACTTAATAGATTGAATATTAAGGTAGTTGTTGAAGCAAAGTAAGTAATGTGTTCTTTTAAGATTTGATCTTCCCATAACTCTCCTTGTTTAAGGGGAAGGTAATCTGACTCTTTAACCAGTAATTCATTAAACTAACAAAGTAGCAATGCCAGGGTGAATTTACAATGTATATGTTCCTGTCTTGTGTCTGTGACTTGTAAATAGGAACTGGAATTGTATTTAAACATCAAAGACCACTAGGGATGAGATAATGGCTAAAAAGGATATAAAAAGGGAAACGCTGAACAAGGGTGCATGGGTGTACTAACCAGACTGGTTTCTGGCATTCTCGCCCGCTCCTGAGTAGAAATTGTATTATTTTACCCAAATTCTGTGTCTCCGTGTATTTCTTTCCTAGATTTCTGGAAACTTCACCTCACTATCTTCATTTCTTCCCATGTAGAGAGGGTGTCATTAATTGTACAGTAAGTTTCCGACTTAAGAACGAGTTTTGTTCCCGGAGAATACTCATTAAGTCAGATTCATTCCTAAATCCAGCAAAGTGAGTCTTACACACCTCTGACACAAACAGATAATGTAAATGTTTAAAAACCTCAACACACACACACACTCAAATACCTTAAATTGATTTTGCTTTTACAATTGCCTCAAAATGGTGGCACAGTACAGTACACCTGTAAATAACAAACTACTTCTGTGATTTATTTGCATCTACAAATGTTTGTAATGTGAGGTCTGTTCATATCTGTGAAAGTTCACACCTCCATAAATTGGGGGCTTCCTGTACCTGATTCGTAAAAGTGACAGGGGATTAAATGTAAGGCATCCAGAAGGTGCACAGCACATAATCAACACTCCTCAAGCTTTTTCTTTAACAACAAAAACTTGCTCTGCACCTCATCCCCCACACCCACCTAGCCCCAGCTATACTTCTTTCTTCCTCTTTGCAATATGACCTGCTTATAGCCGGTCCTCCCTGTACCCCAGGGCCCTGGATGGCCCAGCATCTGTTGTGTAACTCTCCCAGTAATAGTATTTTTGGTCAGCCCATGCCCTCCCAGATTCTCCGTGACCCAGATTAGGATATTCTCCCTCCTCGGAGATGAGTAAGCAAGTGTGATTGAATGAAGCAGAAGTGTTCCTGCAGCCTCCCAGAGGAAGTTGTAAAAGAATTATACAATCTCCCCCGCTTTGCACTCAGAATCACTCGGCTGGCCCCCAGCCACTGCACGAGGAGGGGCCATAGGCAAAGACCCTCCCAGTGCTCCAGCCCATTGCCCCTGCTGATCTTGGAGCAGAGGCCAGCACCCATAGGTGGGCAGGTGAGCAAGGAGCCTGAGGATTTCCACCCCACACCCAAAACACGCAGTTGTCCGAGATTCTTGCATCACTATCTTGTGGACCCTGCTAAGTGCAAATATTCTGCTCTGTTCTCAACCGGCACTGTTGCTTTATGGTTCATAATGAGGCAGGGACACAGCAAAAGACCTGCACCTCTCCTCCAGCAGCAGATGGAGAACCAAATGAATGAAGTAGGGAGATAACCAGAGATTTGGGGAGAATGAACCATGAGCCCCCTGCAGGTGTGGTTGGGCTTAGGTTCCATTTTTCTCAGGTTTGGGTATCATTTTCCTAAATAACAAGAGGCACCCAACAGTAATCCAAACAATCACTTTACGAGGAGCAGGGCCTAAAGGAAGGTGAAAGATTTCTCAGAGTGACACTGACCTGTGTGTGTGGGAGGTGGGTGGGTGTGGAGAGCATTCTGACAACAGAGTTCCTCAGTCAGGACAGGCAGCCATTGAAGACTCAGGGTCAAACACCATGGCCAAGGCCAGGGCACCGGAGGCTCAACAAACAAAGACCTCACTGGATTGGCAGGATTTTCTTGCTCGGGAATGATATTCATACCTCTCTAAAGCATGTCTTTGTTCTGATAATTTTAGAAGCATTATAATTATGATACATACAGAAATAGGCTTACACCTACCTCAAGTTCCTGTAGGCCCACTTCTAAGTCAAACTTTCCCGCTTGTAACCCCATAGGTTGATCTCACCTTGGCTGACACATAGTCATGTTTATTATAAAAACCCCCAGACAAAGATTCCAGGCACTTTTCCCTTTCACTTTACAATAAATGCTGCTTTCTGCTTTTGCTCTACAATAAATACTTTTGCTCAGTGCTCTTGACCCTCTGCCTGGTCATTCTTTCTGGGTTGAGAGAAGAATCCACTGGCCGGATGGCAGCAATTAGAGTCCTTGGGTGTTGGCACCTGTTGGTGGCTGCCTGGCCCTGGGTGCTGGCTGATGACTGTACTAGGATTACTTTACTCCCTGAATTACACCACTCCCTTCCTCTGCCCAGGCCCTGCTGATGGGAGTGGGGCAGGGTAGGGCAGAGGTGGCAAGGTGGGCACTGCCCTGCAGCCCTGAGTCCTGCCCTTGCCACTGTCCCTACTTCACTCTCTAAATGGGTCCTGTCTGCTTTTCCCTCCAAGTCAAGCTTCCTCCCTGCTTCCCATTCCTCCAAATAAGTGCTCTCATGCTGGTCAATTTCAAGTCCTTCAGCTGGGAGGAAATGACCCAGATCATGCCTTGTGCAGCAGGGCCGGCCTGGGGTGGAGGTTGCTCAGCCTCTGGGTGTCCTGGTTTGGTCCCAGAAAGCCTGGCTGTCCTTTGTTTTCCCTATACCCGACCCCAGTGTGAGAGCCCGTGTGAGCCTGGGCCATGCGAAGATGGCGAGACATCAGTGCAAGAGCCAGAAGAGGGCCTGTTTCAATAAGATGGCGCTCACACAATAGGCAGACTCAGGTACTTCCAGCCCTTGGGAGGCTGAGGCAGGAGGATCGGTACTTCAAGTCCAGACCAGACCATGTAGCAACTTTGCAAGACAACTAAAATGGGCTAGAGGACTGGAGAGTTTGGGGTGTCCCTGGAGAGGTCCGCACAGACAGAGCTTTTGAGTCCCTTGGGGAGGGCGGGGCTGGTTTGCTGGCCCGAGGGTGATGAGGAAGAGGTTGAGACAACCTCGCACTGTGGAGCCTTTTATTAAACAGTCCGTGGAGACCCGAATCCCCCTGAGAGACGGTGGTGTCTGGAAAGGGACCATCAAGGATGATGATACAGGGGAAGAGATGTAACTCCCAAACCTTCTAGGTGTCTAACACGCGAGTTTGTGATCTCTAAAATCGAAGAATGAGTTCTTGGAAAATGGAGGTTAAGAGTAGGAGAAATTTATTGAGAGAAAAAAAAGCTTCTGTGCAAGAGAGACAGAAGGGGGACCAGAAAGTGGGCTGCCCGCCCACCCCATGTTTCTAAGGTGTTTCATACAGCAAAGCCATGTGGCGAGGCGGGTGCAAAGTGGGACAAAACCATGACCAACCTAAGATTGCAAGTCCGGTCACCCAGGTAATACTGATTAAATGGGGAGCGATGGGGAAAACAAGTCCCATACAAGGAATTTCCCATTTAGAGTATCAATCACTGCTATCCATCTCCAAGGGAAGTAGTGCCTCTTCTTTTTATAGTGCTAACCAGCGAATGTGCCTCAATTGTTCTCCATGTTGGCTCCTCGCTGTGTTGGCTTCTGGAGGGCTGGCACCTTGAGGACTGGGGTCTTGTCTAACTGCCTACAAGACATCTAATTAACTTACCTATCTACAATAATAACAATGTCCTTTTAGGAGGTTACTTTAAGGATCCTCCTCACATGGGCCTTTTTGGAGGAATGTTTTTTTCGATAGAGCCACGTAAGCCTAACTATGAGGGCTCAGAGCATTTTTCTTGCTTTTTGCAAAAAAGATCTCATTGAAGAATGCTATTTTGATTTAGACTGCATTTATGGAGCCTTTCTCCTCATTTCATCATTTGCAATGCGGCTAAATTGTATTGAGATAGAAGGTAAGTTGTATTTTGTCAGATGGTCAGGGTTAAATTGTTTCCAGGAGTTAAGGAGAAACCTAATGGTGAAGTCTGTGGATCGGCACTATAGAGTGATGCTGGTGGTCACTGTATTTGTCAAATATTTCAGGTCTCTCGAGCCTTTCCAGATTCTTCCCTCCGCATGAGGCTCCTTGCCTGCCCCTTGAAGAGCTCTGGGACACGTGTGATTGAATGAGGCCGGAGTGGCCCTGCAAACTTCCAGGGAAGGCTGTCAAAAGGCTATAAAGTCCAATGCCCCTCCCACTCAGAACACTCTCTGCACTAGGAAGGGCGCCCCAGCCCACTGCTCCTGCTGAACTCTCAATTGACGCCAGCACCCATAGGTGGGCAGGTGAGCAAGGGGACTGCCGAGGATTTCCACCTCCATCCCCAAAGCCCAAAAATGGGCAAGATTCCTGCCTGGCTGTCTTTTGGACCCTGCTGCGTGCAAATATCCTTCTTTGTCCTCAGCAGGCACCTTTGCTTTAGGGCTCAAAGAGAGTCCTCCTTGGTTGCACCTGCTGACAGCCACTTCCTTGAACTTGGGAACCACGTAAAGTCTGTAAATGTGACCCTGAACTCTCTGAATTACACCAGTCCCTCCCTCTGCCTGGGACCTGCTGGTGGGGGTTGGGCAGGGGTAGGGCCAAGGTGGCAAGCTTATATCTCTGGAGCCCCAAGTCCTGCCTTAACTTAGGTCCCTACTCTGTGTTCTGAATGGGTCCTGTCTGATTTCTCCTCCAAGCCTGGGTTCCTCCTTGCTTCCTTTCCTCCTGTGTAACAGTTCCCATCCTGGTCAGGATCCAGTCCTGAACCTGGGAGGAAATGACGCAGATGCTGCCCTGTGCAGAAGAACAGGCCTGGCGTGCAGGTAGTTCAGCCTGTGGGTGACCTGGAGTTCATCCCAGAAAGCCTGGCTGTCCTGTCTTCCTGACCCCTGACCCCAGTGTGAGAGCCTGTGTGGTCCTTGGCCATGAGAAGATGGTGAGACGTCAGTGCAAGAGCCAGAAGAGGGCCCTTGGGGGCACACACAGCTAATTCCAGCACTGGGGAGGCTGTGGCAGGAGGGATGATAGTTCAAGTCTGGCCTAGGCAAGGAGACTACTTAGCAAGACCTTGGTTCAAAAGGAGAAGCAAAGTGGGCTGGGGATGTGGATCAGTGCACAGGCTTTCTGCTGGCAGAGGATGTTCTGTCCTGAGCAAGGCCACGCTCCTCCCTCACTGTCCCAGGAGGTGGGAGACAGCCTGATGCTTCCAATTAGAAAGCAAAATGGATTTTCAGGGTTGTAAAGAGAAGCATGTTACCATTCACTGAATATGATAACAACCATCCGAAACAGCAGGGAACTGCCAAAAGCCGTCCTTAGCCTCAGACATACCCAAGAGGTTGAGCTGGAAAGGAATTAGAAATTTTAAAATGCCACTGGAAACAGATAACAAGCCATCTCACAACCTCCACTCGGGCCAAAAAAGGAATACTGGTCAATGGAGGAGCCAGTGTAGAAGTAAGTGTACATGCAGCACATATGAAACAGGAATACAGGGCCCTCCCTACAAAAATAAAAATGCCCCACCAAAGACACTTAAATATGAAGACATCACAATGTGCCCTGCTCTCAACGCTTAACATGGCTCAAGCAACCAACAAAAAGCATAAGCAGCCAGTAACAATGATGGCTATTATTGATTACCTAAACGAATCATAATCCAAGGGCAGGGATTTAGCTCAGCAGCCTGGGGGCCTGCTAGGTAAGCACAAGGTCCTGAGCTTGATCCCCGGTACTGGAAAAAAACATGAATCGTAATCCAGAATCCAGTCAAAATATTTAGATGTGTCATGAAACAAGAGCAAACTCGTACCTCCTTCTAATTATCTTGCTGGGGCCTCCAAAGGATATGGGGGAAAATATAACTCCCACCCTGCTAGATGTCAGATAAGCTGAGTTGGTGTTCACAAATTCAAAGAATGAATTCTAAAGAACAATAGAGGTTAAGGTCAGGAAAAATTTTTTGAGAGAGAGAGCTTCTGAGAGACAGGAGGTAATTTGAAAGGGGGTTGCCACTGAGGCTGCTTCTCTGAGAATGTTTTATAGAGCAAAATAGGTACAAAATCACAGGTGAGAACAACATGGGTCAAACTACAGTCAACCAATAAGATTACAAGTACAGCTGCCTAGCTAATAATGATCCGATAGAGAAGCAGGTCACATAGCAAGGGTACATGGAAAGAACAAAGGCATTTGGGGGAAGGGATGGGTCCAGATGCTCTGGTCACCCACCTGGGTGAACAATGTCTAACTGGACTTTACTGGACCAGGTCATAGCAATTACAGAATAATTCCAAGTTAGTGCTTATCCCTTAGGGCGGTATGTAGGCCTGGTCATTGCATCTTCATCTGGAGGCCTGGTCTTCTTCAGATGCAATTCCAGCCACAATGCTGATGTCTTTATTTTTTCTGCTGACTTCCTTGACAGCCCAGTCCCTCTCTGACTGTATATTAATTTATATCTAACTTAGCTACCTATGATAATGTCATTTTGGATATTTGTGAATTAAAGTTTACTCAGTCTCTGGGTCTTCAGGCTGGGACGGCCCACATCCCTGCCTGCCTCTGAGTCCTGCCTGCAGCCATCACCAGCACCTACTTTTCTCTCTCTCCACACCCACTTCCTTTGATCACAGCCCCTCCCCCTTGAATAGCTGCCAGATGTGTTGGTTTATATTTCCTTGTAAAGTCCAGCTCTGTGCAGAGACAGTGGAGCTGGTGTGAAAGGCAGTGGTGGCCACACAGGTGGATTATAGATGAGTTCCTGCAACATTCCATACCAGGTGAGTGTGGAGCTGGCCAGGACTGAGTTGGCTGCACAGCCAGGGGCAAGCAGCTGAGGGCCTCTGAGGAAAGGGGTGGGTGGCAGGGGCTGGTGGGGGGGAAGCCCAAAGACTTCCCAAGGAGGCCAGAAATGCCAGACCAGCTCATCCTGATAGTGATCCTGCTCCATGGAGTCTCATTCATCTGGGCCCACAGTGATATGTTAATCAGTGGGACTCAGGGGTTTGACACCAGCTCACTGACCTCCCTCCGGGTGCCTGCTCTATCCTAGATGCCTGCAGAAGACAGGCCTAGCAGCATCTAGAAGGGTGACAATTTGCATGAATGGGACAAGGGCAGTGTTCTGGGAAGGTAACAGCCCACATGCATGGCACTTAAGCCAGCTTTTCTAGAGTTGGTCTCTGGAGTTAAGCCATTCAGTAGCTGGGCAACCACAGGCAGGGGACTTTCACTTCTGGGTCTCAGTTTCTACATCTGTTTAGTGGGCATGATACCTGTGCCCACTTCCCAGAGTTGGCCAGCTATTGGCATTGTAGCACATCCAGGTGTTGTGGGATCACTGAGGATTATCAGGAGTCACGTGTCTGAGGTGAAGACCTGAGTAGGTGTCTGTGCCCTGAGGGCTGAGTTGGAGCTCTCAAAGCAAGGTTGGAGCCCTCAAAGCAAGGTTGGAGCCTGGCCCTCTGCACAGGGGCCGTAGCGGAAGTGGGGTGGGAGGTGGTTTTCCCCAGCAGTATGGAGTGCAAAGGGCGGCCTTTCCCACTTTTTTGCTGGCCAGCAGTGGCAGTAGCTAAACCTGTTAGGGCTTATTAACCCCACTTCATGTCTGGATAAACGGATCAAGGAGAGGTTGAGGCACTTGCCAGTGTCCCCAGATGGAAAGCTGGGAAGGAAGATGCCTGGATTTACCTCCAGAAGAGGGGGTGCCCACAGAGAGAGCAACGGTGTGGAGAAGCAGGAACGCTGTAGCCTGGTCCCAGGCCTTCCCTGGGTCATTGACAATGAGGTACTCTGCACAGATAGGAGACAAGGGGTGGGGGTAGCTGGGCCTGAAATGGGGCCAGCAGCTGGGCCCTGAGTGCTCACTCCATCAGGGAACCCTCTTTCCCTGAACTGCAGACACCTGCCAAGGTTGTCCATGCCCCTCAGCACCCACTGGGCAGTGCTCCTGAGATGGGACCTGCATGGAGGGGGTGAGAGATGCTAGAAGGACCCAGAAGCACCTCTGGGGGGACACTGGATCATAATGTGTCCCTGTGGACACATTACCTGCTCTGGTTCCCAGGCAGACAAGAAATTACATGAACTCTGATGATTTATTATTGTGCTGACTAGTTTCTATTTGGCTTTAGAAGCAAAATATTTCAAACCAGAAGGAAAGCCCTTCTATGGGCAAGAGAGTTAAACAGGTCTGGGGTACTGAAAGAAAGAGGACCCATGCAGCCCCACGGTGTGGGCAGCACCCATGTACCCAGATGGCCTCACTCTGAGACCTGCAGACACACATCCTGAAATGCCCAGTGTGTGGACAGCCACACCACCACAGCATGCCTGAAACACTGTACCCGCTGACTGGCTTGGGCACCATTACTAGCCGGCATACTCTACAAGCCAGGAAGGAAGCTGGGCCACAGCCATGGTGGCCTGGGAAAGCCTTTGTGGGCCAGGAATAAGGGTGTTCTGTGCTGCATCATGAGGGGCCTGGGTGGCTGAAAAGCGTGAGTTCTGGGGTTCAGATCCCAGCTCTGCCACTGATCAGCTGTGTGGCTTTGTGCACCTTTTAAGCCTTTCGTGCTTTAATTCCTCATCTATAAGGATGGCAGTGATGATGTCAAAGGTTGTTATGAGAAAAAAGAAGATAACACAAGCAGGAAAATGCTGGCCACCAGCAGGGTCTCAGAACCTCAATGGTAGGAGCTAAAAGCTGTGCACTGTGGGTAGCGTTGGCCAGCCAAGCTGAGGTTCCAATTGCTGGTGCCCTCTGGTGACACTGGGCCACCAGAAGGAGGCTGCCACACTCTGGCTGTAAGGATCGGCTCTGCCTCATGGTAGGAAGCGCAGAAAAAAGGCCCTAGCATTCAGGCCTGACCAGAAGCAAGGAAAAAGTTTGGACCCAGGCAAAGGATTGATTTGTGCTGATCCAAACAGCTGTATCACTGAGGCTGAGCTCTAGCCAGGGCTTTCCACGAAAACTGCCAAGTGGCATTAATGTCCCCCTGATTGGAGAGGACACTGAGACAAATAAGGTCAAATGACTTTTCTAACAGCAGAACTGCTACCACAGGCTGCTGGTATGTGAGCGAATTCTTATGGGACAATAAATGATGGACAATTCCCCATCCTCTTGTGTGCAGGGACCCAAAGCAGGTGCATTGTTTTCTGCTGTGATTTCTTAGTGGCTGTCATTTGTCCAAATTCCATAATGGCCTTGGTCATGCAAGGTTAAAACAAGTATATTGTCTTATAGATCTGAAGGTCAATAGTCTAAAATCCACGGGTTGAATGACTGTGGTTAGCTCAGTGGTAGAGCAGGTGTCTAGGAGGCTCTGGCTTTGACCCCCTGCACCACAAAGAAAATAAATAAAAGGCACCACAGGTCGGTTTCTGTCCAGAGGCTTCAAGGAGTCTGCTTTATTTATTTTGTAGCTTCTTGAGGGGCCTGGATTCATGGGCTCAGGCTCCTCCCTCTGTCTCTAAAGTCAGCAGCTTCTTGGGGCTAGGGTGCAGCTCAGTGGTAAAGCGCCTCCTGAGCAGGACACAAAATAAAATTAAAAGCCAGAATCTTCTTACCTTGTTATCACATCCTCCTTGTTGACCCCATCCTTCCTACCTCACTATTACAAGGGCAGTTGTGATTACATAGGACCCAGCTGGGTCTCAGTGTGAGGACCTGGGGCCCATCTCCCTAGCCTCGGATCCTTAACTTATCAACATCTGCAAAGACCGTTTGCCCATTGAAGGTAACACATTCAGAGGTTCCAGGAATCTGAATGTGGGTTCTGACCTTGGGGCACAAGGATGAGGGTGTCATTCAGCCTTCAGTTCAGGTGATGGGGTCTGGGAACAGAGCAGGAAGATCCAGGGTGACTGATGTGGTGACCAAGGTGAGCAGGAGGATCCAAGGTCTGGACTCTCTCAACTCATCTCATATTGGGGTGCCCCTCCAGGATGAGTGTGTGTGTGTGTGTGTGTGTGTGTGTGTGTGTCTGTGTCTGTGTGTGCGTGCAAAATACTCCCACATTGAATTTTCTGGTCTCTTTTCTACCAGATCATAGGCCAGAACTCAAAACCTATGTAAATGACATCTGGGGAACAGCTGGGGATTTTGTTTGCTATGAGCAGGGTAGGCAGTAGTTGCAGCTGGGGTTGATTCTACAACTTACTTAATTAAAAAGAGTGTTTTGTCAAGCTGAGGTTTTAAAGTATTGATGTACATTAATAATTTTTTGAAAGGAACTTCTAATATTAAAAGAGTTCCTTGTGTGTGAGATAATTATATGGCCTTGACTTGTCATCCCAGAATGCTTTAGTGTCCAGGCAGTTTCTTTCATGACTGTGTAGTATCGGGAGCAGTTATTGGGACCGTGGTCATAGTTCTCAGTCTCCTGGGAAGCAACATGATGCAAGCTAAAAATAACAAAAGACAAGAAACAAGACTTAAGGAGAGAGCTGGGTCTGGGGGGGCCAGTCCAACAAAGACAAAAGGCACCAAAGACATCCAATATTTATTGATTACAAGCATGGGAAGGATGAGAGCAGGGTATGATTTGACACATCTGGTGGTAGAGTACAAAGCATCTGGTGATAGTAGATATCACAGGCAGGGCTGTGAAAGGTGAGGCACTTATCTTTTTTTTTTTTTTTTTTGTACCTGAGATCAACTTGGGACCTTGTGCTTTCGAGGCAGGTACCAGAACCCCTGAGCTAAGTCCCTGGTCCAGGCACTTGCTTATCTTGCTGGAGAAAACAAACAGACTGGATATGGGTCTGAATCATAATTAATCAGTGACTCATTAGGTCAGTAAGGGAAGCCATTCCTTTCAGAGGAAAGGAATGTAATTGGTATGTTAGTTACTTTTCTCTTGTTGCTGAGACAAAATACCAGACACCCAAAGTTAAAGGGGAAGGATTTTATTTGGCTTACAGTTTATAGATGTTTCAGTCCGTAATGAGCTGGCTCCAAGGCAGGGATGGCAAACAGGCAAGGCAGAGCAGAAACCACATGACACACACAAGGGAGTAAAGGTAACAAGAGTTAACAGCCTCTCCCTGTCCCTTTTATTTTATCCAGACTACTTAGGGGAGGTAGCACTCACACCCTTAATCCTAGTGCCCTTGAGCCTAGCATTGTATCATGAATCAATTCCAGCTTCACACATTCTAGATCAAGCCTATGACCACATGAGGCTTTGAGGGGACATCTAGACCCAAACCATAACAGTTGGGGTCAAACTGACCTTGGCTGGAAGTTAACTCAGCAGGGCCCTGTCACTTCACAGACCGGTTTTTAAGTCTCAGAGGCAGCCATTGGCAGAGGAGCTATGCTCACCCAACTCTGCCATCTGACATGCTCATTTGAGTCACATAAGACTTGGTTCAGACTCCTAAAATAGTACAGCAGAACTATGGGGAAGAAAGAAGCTTATGCCACTTACACCTGCTAGTACTGGGCAGAGATGTCTACTCCAGTGAAGGATCCTGCTTTGGGAATGCTGGGAAGTTTTCCCTTGGTGTTTAATGAACCAAGTAAAGATGTCCTAGATTCCTCAGAAAGATGTACTACTCTCAGGCATGGCTTCAGGCTGACTGTCCAAGTCCGTGACAATTGGTACAGAATTTCCCACTGCAGTGGTGGCTCTGCTGTCACTGGCTGACCTGTCCCCATCCTTCCAATAGGTTCCTTACCATGCCTCCATCCCAGGTGGGCTGTTCCCATCCAGGGTCATCACTGTATCTGGGATTGTCCCACCCAATGCTAAGAGGTAAGATGGGACCTCAGGGAGGAGCGCCACCCCCTGGCTCCAGGTAGACTGGACCTGGGGGCAAAGCCTGAGATGGAAGCTCAAGGGACAACGAAGGTCCATATTATGCTCCTACCCCAGGTTTAGCATCAACCTGTGCACTGGGAGTGACATCGCCTTCCACCTGAATCCTCGTTTTGATGGAAACATTTTAGTCCGAAACACTCAGATACAGGGGTCCTGGGGGTCAGAAGAGCGAAGCCTGCCCTTCGATATGCCTTTCAGACAAGGATACAGCTTCACGGTAAGAAACTGCAGCCTGGAGTTTGGGAACCTCACTGGGTGCAAGGGGACAAAGGGTGAGGAGCTCTGGGGGTACCTCAAATGGGATGGGGGGTGATGCCTGTGATAGGAAGGCTGGGCCCCAGAGGAGAGAGAACATGCAGCAAATTATTAATGTTTTATGATTACTGTTCACACTCGCCCCAGGGAGGTGTTAGCTTCTGCTTTTATAGATGGGCAAACAAAATCAAAGGGGAAGTTACTTGCCAGAGGTCACATAGCCCACTTCTGCCACATCACACCCAAGAATGAGGTGCCAGACATTTAAACCCTTATTAAAGCAGCAGGCATTTATCAATCTGAATGGTGCAGGAAGTGCCCCATGTGCAGGATGCAGCCAGAAAGCAGAGAGACAAGGTCCTACCCCATGGGGCCGCCATCCAGGTGGGGAGGAGCAAGGGGACCAAGGCTTGAGGTGATCAGCACAGAAAGGACAGGTGCTGAGCAGAAAGGCAGCCAGGGCCCGGGGTGGAGGGAGCCCCCCTTCGGGGGTCCATGTGCAGAGGAGGGAGGGGCTGTCCAGAGCTGCACTGCAAGGTGGAGAGTGAGGGTGAGAGAGGTCTGGGTGTGGCTGCAGGCTGATCAGCCCAGCAGGCCTTCTCCACCCTGACTACAAGTTCAGATCCCCCAAGGAGAGTACAAAAGACAAAGCCCAGTGCAGAGGCGTATGCACCTGTACTAGCAGCACTCTGGGGGCTGAGACAGGAGGGTCCCAAGTTTGAGCCCAGCCTGGACAATTTAGTGATTTGGGGAGAGTTTGTCTAAAGGAGAAAAAATTAAAAATAGAGGAAGGGATGTAGCTCAGTGTGAAGGCCCTTGGTTGATTCCTTAGTACCACAAAAGAAGAAAGAGCAGAGAAAGGAAGGAAAACAAGGAAGAAAGAAAAGAAAGGAAGAGAGCTCCATGCTGCCCTCGCCCCCAGCCCCCAGCCATGGAGACTGTCAGCCTGGGCATCTGCCTGGGCAGAAGTTGTGTCCTAAATGATTGCACTCCGCAGCCTGGGCTGGACATGACTGGTGTTTGGCTTTGTGGGCTGTGAAGGGAGCTTGGCTTGTACTACAGTGAGAAGCCACTGGGGAGCAGCAGCGGGGAACAGTACCTTGGATTTATAGTGACTGTGTGGCCTTGGGGCAGTGCCCTTCAGGCAGGGATAGTCACTTGGGAGTCTGTGTCTCCATTTCCTCATCTACAAGGGGAGCGAAGAATACGGTGATCTCAGAGAGCTGTGGGAATGGACCGAGGTAGTGCACATGAGGTAGCCTCTGTGCACATGAGGACAGTGCCCGGCACACGAGCGTGATGCACGTGGGACCACTGGTGTTTGTACCCTCACTGCCCCCGGGGAAGGTCCTGGGCTGGACAGGACGAGTCAGGAGGCTGCTGTTGCTGCTGCAGAGACCAGGCGTGGACATGGGGGACACAGATGGCACGAGGCAGCACTGCTGTCCGTGGTGGCCTGAGGAGGCCGTTGATCACCTGAGAGGGGTCATTGGTCGGGCAGGGAAGGCTTGGCAGAGGGCGCTGAATCCTGAGGTGCTGGGCAGCGATCACATGGAGAGATGAAGGCCGGGAGCTGCACCCCAAGCTGGAAATGGCATGTGCTAAAGTACAAGGGGGCAGAGCACGTGGGTGTGTAGGGAGAAACAGGTCATTCAGTTCAGGAAAGGGGCTTGTGGGGTAGTGGAGGGAGGCAGGGAAGGAGGTGTCTCCGATCCTGCAGTGAGAGCTGAGGACTTTCTATGTGGAGTTCGAATGTCAAGGCCTTGCTGTCCAGGTGGGAATCATATGCGAAGCCCACTGCTACAAGGTGACACTAGACGGCCAACACCTCCTGGAATATGTCCACCGCCTAAAGAACCTGCCGGCCATCAATCACCTGGAAGTGAAAGGTGACATCAAGCTCACTAAAGTGACTGTCTAGGTGGCTCCCTGGCCTGTGGCATTACTGTTTTCATCTCCTCCTGCTCCGCTTCCATGCCCCGCACCAGCTTCCTGACCCCTAACATCTGAGCAGAGGAGCCTCTCATCCTACCAGCAGGCAGACCTCCAGCTCCAGTCCCCTGGCTAGAGGGGGTCCTGAGACCGCTGAGCCCCCAGCAAAGGCCCCCACTGCATGGGGCTCTCAATCCCCCTCCCATCCTCTGTGCAGCCCCAACTGGGTCCCAAGCCACAGGCTGTGCACTGCAGAAATGAGGAGACCTGCATGGACCTCCCGTTCCCATGACCCTAGCCTCTCTCCTTGGCTTTGCACCTGCTGCAAACCTAACCCCTTGGGGAAGGCTGCTCTGGTGACCCCCCTCTGGAATCGATCAAACTGAATAGAACTTTCTCAGCATGGGCTCTTCCCTTTCCTGGCATCCTTAAAATAAAGAAAATACAGTACTGTTGGCACACAAGACTGGCTGCTTTCTTACTGTGTCTGGAGACATTCTGAATTCTCCGAAATCAGCTCCCTGCCCAGTGGAATGGGAAAAGACAGCACCCCTTCTCTTAGGGCAGAGGGGTCCTGACACCCACACCTGCTCCCAGGGGCTCCTCACAAAGCCCGTAAGGGTGCTGAAGAAGACAGCTGGGGCTCTGGCCTTGTGAGCAAGGGTCTCTGACATAAGTGTCTTCATAGCCCAAATAGCCCCAAGTCACCGAGGCGGGAGGAGGCTGGGACAGAGCCCGTGGGCCATGGCAGAGCCGGGAAGCTAGAAGGCCTTGTGGCAAGTGGGAGGGGAGGCAGGCGGGGTGCCTGGTGTGAGGGATGGGTGTGCAAGAGCTGAGTGCCTCAGTACCAGGGATCTGCCAGCCACAGGGCAGCATGAGGGAGCCCAGCCATGCAGCCACGTGATGCCATCAAGAACTTGGTCCCTCAGGGTGTGGTCCTCGGGCAGCAGCATCACCAGGGAACTGGTTAGCAGCAGAATCTCAGGCCCCACCTCAGACTCACTAAATGGGAATCTGCATTTTAAGGAGATCTAGGAGGACTCCTGTGTTTCAGTGAGGGTGTGTGTGTGTGTGTGTGTGTGTGTGCAGCCCTGGTCGAGGTGGCTGGATTCCTGGCCATGCTGTTCAGACTCCTTGCTCCTGGTCAGGACACAGATATTTTCTGGGTGGCCAGAGGTTGGCAAGACCCCTCTCCTGCCCCCACATCTGAGTTGCTGCTGCCAGAAGTGGAAGGAGAGGTGGGAAGGGAGAAGCACGGAGGGAGCCTGTGAGCCTTGGGCAGCAGGGCCCTGGCCTGCAATTGAATCCTTCCCTTGGTCTGCTCAAGAGATGGGGCTCTGTCTGCTCCAAGCCCTCCGGTTGGCTGCACCCACAGAAGGGCCGGTGTCTCAGGCAGGGAGGGATGTGAGTGGCCTTTACTGCTCGCCCCCAGGTCCTCCTCCTGCAGGAGGCCGCGCCAGCTTTTCCCAGGTGCCAAATCACCTTTGCCCAAACTTAACAAAACAGGGGGCAGCAAGGCAAAACCTTGCATAATGAGGCCTGGAGGACAGGGCCTTGACTAAGGAGCTGGCACTGAGGGCTGGACGACCCCCCCCATTCTCAATGGCTTCCCGTGCAAGGCACAGCTCCCCTTCCTCCACTGCCCCCAACTCCCCCCGCCCCTCTTTGGAGAAGCACAGAACTGCTTCTGCTGCCATTTCGAAGAAGAATCCATGGCCTGGATGGTAAGTCTCCTTGTGGGGTACTTGGTCCAGGTGGTGGCCCAGCCCTGACCACTCTATGACTTGCGGTTGCTATTCCTACAATATAGCCACTCATCACACACGCACACACACAATAGTTAAAATAAAATGTATTTTATGTCAGTTTTTTGATCAAGGAAATGCAGGGAAGGCTCAAGTGGCCTTTGGGAGGAGACAGGGGTGTTTTAGTACAGAAGCATGAATGTTGTACACAGGGCCCGTAAATACACACTGGCACAATATCGCCACCTGGTGGCCACTTAAACTGGTGCAAGCAGAAGAGGATTTCCTGTTCCTCTCAGGTTTAGCATTGCACTTTCATCTTTGAGGAGCCAGAGAGTGTGGGCTTCAGGGACGGACGTCAGTCTGACCAGTCCAAGATGCTACTGGGTGTTAATTTCAGCATCCATCAAATGTGTCCACTTTTTTCTCCTCCCTGGCAAATATCCTAAGGCTTTAAGCACTGGGGGCAAAGGATGGACACCAAGAGGCTGAGCAGGATCCAAACCTCAGCTCCTCACTGTGTGGTCCACAGAAGTTGCAGGGAATCCATAAAGAGAGAGGGTCTTGGCACCCAGGGTGGCTGCTGTAAGCACTCAACACACAGTGAACGCACAAAGCCCAGTGGCTTCTGTCCACCAGGGATCTGGTTCTGCACTTGTGGGAACAGCAGCCTGGTTCCCCAGAAGGGAGCTTCACACTGACTCTGTGACCCAGTGACTTCCTTCTCTGCAGCCCAGTGCACTCGGGGCTTCAAGAGTCACAGCCTGTGGGTGGCCTGTAACACTCTTGTTTCCAGTGTGGATGTCGAACTCCACCTCCACTCACTTTGACAACAGTTTGGAGCTTGTGATGTTCACTTTAGTGGATTCTGGGCTGGGAGGCAGAGCTGCCATGAGAAGTACACGCCTATAGGCTGCTCATGGGCTAGTCACCGATGGGCACTGAGTGTCTGCTGCCTCCCACTGTGCACACAGCAGTGACAGTCCTAGAGAGAAGAGGCTGACAGGGAGCAGGTGCCAGAGCTGGGTTCTCCACCTGACCCTGACCCACCTGGGGTGCTGGGTGGTTTGAGCCTTCTGTGCAGATGGAGGGAGACAGATCCTGAGTTATGGAGGGAGTGGACTGAATTTGTCCCATTTCTGGACAACCTCTCCATCACTGTTGTCGCTGGGGCTGATCATGATGACAGCTGCTAGTAGGAGGCTAAAGGGCAGCTGCAAAATTGGATTATAATTGGTGAAAACTTCTGAACACTAAGGTTACAATAAATAATAAGATAATGTTGGGCTGCATTAGAGGAGGTAGAGTGTCTAGAAACAAGGGAGATGACATCTTACGTTTTCAGGTGTGGTTGGTCAGATTCCTTGGGGTATGTGGGTGTGTTGGGGGCATCCACCCAGAAGCCAGGGCAAAGGTCAGAGCATCTTCCAGTGGTGATGCTGTGGCAGGTGAATGCTCAGTGCCACAATGATGCCAGAATGCAATGATGTATTCTCTCATCGTTTCTGGGAAATCGTGGGAGCAAACTACCCCCCACTCACAGAGGGGAAGCTGGGGGGCAGTGAGTAAAGGGGCTGCCTGGGGTCTTGCAGCAAGAGGGGAGGCAGCTTGGCTTTGGAGCTGGGCTGTTGGGTTGACTCCCGACCTCCCCTGTAGATAGTGCTCTGCTCCATTGGAAGCACCATTCTATCCAAGTCACACCATCTCAGGGGCGCCTGTACACCAAAGACCAGTGTCCCTTCTGATTCCACAGAGCAGCCTCCATCATAACTGATGACCTCTCTGGAATCAGCCCAGGAGGAGTGTGAGGACAGGCCCCAAGCTGAGCTGCAACACACCAGGGGTCCTTCTCACCAGGCACAGAAAACAGGGCTCAGACAGGAAACTTAGATAGTTTTGGCAGACTCTGCCTCAACCCTGGGTGGGGTGGGGGGGCACACAGAATAGTGACCACATCCTTATTTCCTAAAACAGAAGTTGTTGGGTTCCCTGAAGGGAGGCTGGTCCCATGAGCAGGAGAGGCAGGGAGTGCAGTGGTTAGCAGCTCAGACACCCTTGCTGGGTTGCCTGGTCCAGCGCTGACATGTTCCTGCTTTGTGACCCTCGCCAATGTGCTTCACCTCACTGTGTCTCCATTCTTCCCATGTAGAATGGGCATAATTAATTGTACGTGACTCTTACAAGTGACAGAGGATTAAATGTAAGGCACCCAGGAAGGTGCATAACACAGAATGGACACTACTCAAGCCTTCACTTAAACAAAACAATCACTGGGGACTCCCTCCCCCCACACTTACAAATCCTCCAGTATATACCTGTCTTTCCCTGTGGATTATGAGCTCCATAAGGCCAGTCCTCCTGTACCCCAAGGCCTTGTAGGGGACAGCACCTGTTGAGTGACTTTGGCAGTCATTGTATTCTCCAAACATTTCTGGTGTCCCGTGCCCTTCCACATTCTCATTGCCCTGCCACTCTCATCAGGAGGTGACCCCTTCCTTCCCCACTATGAACATCAGTAAGGTTTGTGTGACTGAAAGTGATAGAAGTGACCCTGCAGACTAGCAGAGCAGGTTGTAAATCACATCCCTTGCACTCAGAACACTCTGCTAGAATCCAGCCACCATACTGAAAGGAGCCACATGCACATGCTCTTAGCAGTGCTCTGGCCATTGCTCCAGCTGAGATCTTGGCCGACCGCCAGCACCTGCAGGCGTGCCTGTGGGAGAAAGGGGTGCCAGGGATGCCACCTGGCCTCCCAGCCAGCTGCTGCCAAGTGGGGCAGAGATCAGCGCTCCTCACCTATCCCTGCCCCAGTTGTAGATCTGTGAGCAAACTACATGCTGTGGTTGCTTTAAGCTACCAAGTTTTAGGATAATGATTTATGCAACAACCAAACAGCCAGGAGCTGAGTGAGCTCTGGGAAAGCACTGCTCAGCAGCAAAGCAGCAGGTGGCTGGTGCCTCTGGTCTGCCTCCACCAAGTCTGCAGCCGGGACCCAGGTTGAGGGGGCCCCGATGCTTGAGGGAGAATCCGACAGGGGTCATCCTGCCCTGCCGCTTTGGGTTCTCTTGCTCATTAGGTGAAAGGCCCTGGGCACTTCCCTAATTCTTAGATGTATTAATTATCATCCCAGTGGGCTGCTAGGAGCTTTACCAGAAAAATGTAAAATCCCTGGTGCCCAGTGAGGCACAGAGCTCAATGTGGTAAACGCTGGTTCCTGTCTGAGAGAGAGTTACAGTGCAAGCAGAGGGACTGTGTTCCCTGAAAGCCCAGTGCAGGGAAGGAAAGACAGCAGGGCACCAGCACTGTGGAGCAGTGACAAGGAGCACATGGGCTGGAGTGGGGCCTAGGACCCAGGCAGTGTGATCTCATGAGTGAAGCCCCAGCTGACAGCTGCGTGTCATGGGTTCTTCCCATCTGCCTTGGGAGCTGAGCCAGGGGCGAGTTCATCTCTTAGGGCCCTTCCCGAATGGGCAGTGTTTTCCCCTGCTCACGGGCATTGGTAAAATTTGTAGAAGTTATATTTTCAGTGAGCTGATTAACACTCCTGCCTCCTGCCTCATGGATTCTCCTCCATCACTTTTCCTCCTGAGCCAGGTGGTATTGGAGAAGCCTGTGCACTGGGGACACGGCAAAGAGGGATTTGCTTGGGACACATTTATTGTCTGTATGGTGGGATGTGTTTACAGGGTTCAGCCTTTTCCATGT